CCCYYARSCCTGTCCCCTCCTCCTTGCAGWGGCTGCTGGGGGTACTTACAGCTCCCGAATTTCAGGGGGCAGGCGTGCACGTCCATCGGGAAGTCCTCCAGGTGCATGGGGCACTCGGCGTGGATGGTCAGCCTGCAAGACAGAGCACAGGGCTGGCTCAGGGACAGCCTGGCCCTCCCTGCCCTGTGGCCATCAGCAGTGACAYCCTGAGGTGCTCACAGCCTCGGGGTCTCTGGGCAGAAGCCCCCACACTTGGAGAGAACAGCAGGAGCCTGGCAGCCTTTTCCACGGTAAGAACTGAACCTGCTGACTGAGTTAACCTTTACCCACTCAGTGCCATTGGAAAATCTGCCCAGAGCCCAGGATTCTGTTTGCTCTGTGCTGTGAATGGTGCCCCTCAATGCCTGGGGCTGGGGGATTCCTCATGGACCACGCTGGAAAAGCAGAGAGAAAGGGCTGCCAGGGGCTTCCAGGGAACAGATCCATCCCTCCTGGTGCTCTGGAAGGAGCTGGGGGCTGGCACACTGTCCAAAGCCAGCCAGGCCCATGGAGCCAGCAGGGCACAACACGTCCCAGTCCATGTGGGACACCTCATCCCTCCTCCCTCGCTGGCAGCACTGCAGGGATGCTGCAGGCACATTCTGGGGCTGCTTGGGCTGTGCAGGACAACCTGTGCTTCCCAAATCCACCAAATCCCGGCAGGACACCTCATCAGGAAGCAGCTCAGTGAGACAAGCACAGCCATAAAAGCAGTGTGCTGCAGAATATGGGGCCAGGAATAAAAGGATCCATTATAAAGRGCTCTAAAAAAGGGAGCTCGTGTTCCTTCCTGGAGTACTGCAAAGCGTGCAGACAGGGACAGGGAGCCAGAAGAAACAACTCCCAGGAGATGCCTAAAACAATCTTCTCTGAAAGAACCATTTGTAGGAGAAAAAAGGACCCACTTCTAATGGCTCAGCAAAACAGCAAAAAAACCACGGCAGGAGCAACACGTGGATGCAAAGGGCAACTGCACGGACTGAAGGTGGCTTGTGCAAAACTCAGGTCAAGAAGCTGCTATTGAGATATTTCCTTTCAGCTAGAAAAACGTTCAGCTATGTTATTCTTCACAGAAAATACTTAGGCTTAGTCAAATGCAAAATAAABCCTGAAAAAATAAAGGCTTTGGGTTTTGTTTGCTAAAAGCAAAGAATAAAGATTTTTTATAAAAAGGGGGAAATAAAAATAAAGGTTATTTCTTTCAGAAAGACAAGCCTTAAATTATTCTATTTAAAAACAAAAACAAAAAAAAAAAAAGAAAAAAGAAGAAAAGAGGACTGTTTTTTAAATTTGCTGTAATAAAATCAAAAAGAAACCCTTCACAAATTGTTGTAAAAACCCCGTGGGGGAAACAAAAGAAAAAAGGCTGGGAGGTGGCAGGCGATTCACAGCTGCAGTGACAGTGGCTGCAGTGACAGTGGCTGCAGTGACAGTGGCTGCAGTGACAGTGGGAGGGGACAGCCACACACGGAGGGACCGGGGAGCAAACCCTGCAGAGCCACAACTCCATCACCTGTGAGCTCTGTTCTGCCAGCTGAGGAAATGAACCCATGGATTTCAAAGCCACAGCCATTCTGCAGCTCCCAGAGGGGCTGGGGAATCTGGCAGCCCCACCGGAGAGAGCGGAGGAATTAAATTGAGAAGCAGAGGGGAAGAGCTGGAAGCTGCCAGAACTTTGCTGGGCAGAGCTGGGGGGCCAAAGCTCTCTGGAGCCCCTGCAGCACTCACAGCAGGGGTTAAAGCCCCAGCTCACCCAATCTTTGGGGACATCTGGCAATTCTGTGCACCAGAGACCAAGGACCTCGCCTACAGGGACAGTGCCAGTCCTTTCTGCATCCACACACACRGGAACACCCTGTGCTGGAACACAAGGATGCTGACTGTCCTGCTTGCTTCTCCTCTGCCCCAGCCTGGCTTTCTCAGCCAGGCCCAGAACCACTGTGGGGTCAAAGTCACTTTTGGGAGACAAACCCCTCCCTCTGGCTTGGGATCTCTTCTTCCCCATGTACTGAATGCACCTGTTTTACATGAAACAGAAGAAGACCTGATCTTCAGACTTCAGTCAAGGCTCATTGAGGATTGACAGTGATCCTGACAACCTACAAGCACATTGTTGCAATTATTTTCTCCTGGACACTCAAAGGCCACAATGAACAAATTGCTCATTTGCTCTGATGCCTCTCTTTTCCARCATGGATTTCAAGAAGCAGGTATGAAAACCTGGCAGCTTGGTGTGGACTTGACTGCCTCACTCCTCTTGTTCTGTTTCTCCTGTAATGTTCTCTTCAGCCAGCTCAAAATTCACTTGGGGACCTCATGGCTGGCAAGCTTGTCAAGAACATTCTCACACATCTYAGCATTCAATTCTTTCTGTGTCTTTTCCAGCTGCAATGGACTTTTTGCTTCCCATTTTGTCACTGTCACTTGTGTCAAGGAAACGTTGATGCATATCTCCCTCAGCAGCCCACACCAGAATCTTCCTTTTTATCTTCCTATTTTCCATCTGCTTCACTAATTGCTTTATTATTTCAAAAGGCTCTTTGCTGGGTGTTCCCAAAGTTGGCTCTTCCAAAGGACCTCACCTCTGACCAGTGCCTTCCTCCTGAAGCATCCTGATCTCACCCCAAAAAAACCCAGAAAAGTCTTTTCCATMCACTGTATGATCATCAGCCACTCTGAATAAGGCTGAATGACTCCAAGGACTGCAGATTGTGGGTTTTCTGGTTTTGTTCCATTTAGAGCAGCCAGGAAGAACTTCAGAGGGGACCAGGACAGCAGCAGAGACCGGCCCTGGCCCATCCTGCCCTCTCCAGGCCATGRCCAACAAGAGCATTGCCAAGGGAAGATCACTTTATATGGATGCTGGATGACTCGCTGTGAGTTTGGGAATGCAGCAGCTGCATTTTATATCTACAGCCTGTTTTACTGGCTGAGCCAAGCAAATAAAACAATAAATCCATCAACAAACCACTGCAAAATCTTCTACTTCTCCACCTACAACTGAAGGAGTTTTAAAAACTCCTGAAATTAAATTGAAAAAAAAAAAAAARAAAARAAAAGAAAAAGTTGTACCATTCCAGCAAGGTGAGTCTGGTTCAGCACTTCAGCAGGTTCACAGAGAACACGTGAAGGGAGCCAGCCTTGGGGCTGGAGGGGGAAGGAATGCAGGCACTGCCCTTCCCAGTGCCACCCTCACTGTGCCAGGGTGTGCTGCGATGTCCCCGTGATCTGAGTGTGGCAGCTGCTGCACCTTCCTGCCCACCCACCCCTCAGCCATGTCCCACTGCCCTCCTGCAGCCTCCCTGCACACCCCCATCTTTCAGAGCACTAATTAGAGGTAATTAGGTGAGCCATGGAATCAGTCACTGCTCAGGGGTGCCCACTCTCCCTTTCTGCCCCATGGCAGGGGAAGGAYTCCTCAGCCCCAGTGCTTTGCCCAGTGAAATGTCACAATGTCAAATGACAAGGAACATCTCTCCCTTCCCAGACAATTACCACTGCATCGGCAGCGTTTGGGTGAAAAGGTTTATGGCAGAAATTCCCATCTGTGCCCCTTATCCCACACAAGGGAGCTGATGGCCAGCGAGCTGCTGGGTTTTGCTTCATTGCTCCAGAGGCCTGTTCAAACCCAGGAGCCCTGAAATGTCCTCAGGAAGCCTGAGGAGCACAAAAAATCCAGCCAAGCTGCCAGAAACACATCACCCAGCAGCCATATCCTGCGGCTCATCTGTCCCAGGTGCTTGAGGTAACTTATGCAGAACTGTCTTGAAGCCAGACCCCAAACTCTTCCTGTTCTCTCTTCACTTTGCTGGCACAATGGCACCAAAAGTGGAACATCCAGAACAGAAAATGTGTTTTTTCCCCCTCTTTAAAGTCACGGGAAGTCTTTTGAACTGCGCCAACACAATGGCAAGGAGCGTGAATCAGGCTAAACATCCCTGTGCCAGGGCTGACGGGATAACAAACCTCTTCAGCTGCGTTCTCATGGTTACCAGGAGCTTAGCAAAGCCTTTGATGTGTCATTAGAGCCCCTGTCGTTACCTGCGTGCAGCTGCAGGATGAGCCAGGATCTCAGTCCAATTTCTGGGACGCAAATGTAATAATCCCTTGGTGTGTGAGCGGTACAAAAACATGACAGCACCCTGCACGGCAGGGCTGGCTCTGTTTGTGCCAGGGATACTGCTGGAGTTTTGTCCTGATTTCTTCTCCAGGAGGTTCATTAATAACCACAGTTGGGCTGAGCAGTGTTTACGGTTTAGGCTGTGGGAGAATCTAGGTTAGGTTTAATTGCCGGGGTTTGAGCTTGAAAGCCCAATTGCTTCTAGGATCCTTGTGCTGGATCTGGAAACACTGATTTCACTTTCCATCCTCCCCCAGCCCCTGGAGATTTCAGCCCATGATGGCAGAAATGCAGTGAGATAAGGTGTTCTCTGAAGATTTCTGCCTCCTGGGACAGTTTCCTTTCAAAAGTCTGCCTGCACAAAGCCAAGCCTGGAAAACAGATAATTTCTGGTTTTGGATCTATTCTGGCAGGGARAAGTTGGAGCAAATCTCTCCTCACCTTGTTGCCTGCTTGTGTTTTCATCAGCCAGCCTAGCTCTGCTCTGCCTGGATGTGTCTGGGATGTTTTTTAGGGTCAGCCCTGCTGTGGGACACAGCCAAACTGACCCAGCCTGCCCAGCAGAGCTGGTGCTGGGATGYCCCAGCTGCTGCTCCTGCAGAGAGGCTGAAATCCATCGTGTGGGAGAGAGGGTGCTGCAGAGCCTGGAGCAATCACAATTCCTGGGGGCTAAACCCCCCCAGCCAGTAGAGACAGCCCCAAGCCTTTGCTGAGGGAGAGATGCTGCAGCAAAGTGATTTGTGCTCTGTGATTCCAAAGGGCAGCACGGGAAGCTCCAACCCCTGAGCATGGCACTCCAGAGGGAATTGTGGGATTCCATGGTCCCTGTGGGTCTGCACGTGTCCTGTGCTCAGCTTCCCCTCCAAATTTATCTCTGCCTGACTCACCTAAGGGCTCACAGACCCCCTTTCCAAGGAAGGACTGCACGCTGTCTGCAGCAGCACAGGCTCACAAGGCAGAGTCCTTGGGCGTGCAGTGACTGTGTCAGCCTGACAGGTAAAGAAAACACCCTGCGAGTGCATCACTCGAGCACATATTGTCTGGGAACCAYTCTGACAACAACCACAAAGCCTCAACACGCCATTCTGACAGCCCTGTTAAGAGCACAAGAGCTTTTCAAAGCTTTGATTCACAAAGTCGAATCCCATCAGCACARCATTAGACTTTCACATTTTTTTCTATGCTCCAAGGCCAGGAAGAACCAGAACATCATCTGCGTGCCCCACACAGCTCGAGCCAGGGAGAACATCCTGAGATGGCTSCAGCAGCGGAGCTTTTGTCTCTTCCTTATGTAAATCCACGCACGATTCTCAGATTGCTGCACTCAGRTCTGACACCAGAGCTTTGAGACCATAGCTGGGCTTTTGTCAACTCCTTGGATCGTGTAGGAGCTCCACAAAAGGAAACTGCAGAGGCAGGGCTACATAAAACACCACATTCTTCACACCCTATAAGGCAGCCAGGGGAGCAGGGAAAATGCACAGGGATCAGAAATCGTGGGGAATGGAGAAATGCAGCTCAGAGCTGTGGTCACAAAGGTGRTTTTGTGTCCCAGGTGTCAGTGGTCAGGTCTGCACTGTGGTGTTGCACTGAGCCGTGAGGAGCCCGAGACGTGACTGAAGGAAAGCTCTGGATGCTCAGCTCCAGCAGCTCTGGGAGCTCAGGTCAGTGATAAAGAGGCTCTCTCCAGGAGCTATAAATATTGTCACACAGGTGTAATTTTGCTGGATGCATGTGTCAGCCTTGCTGTTCCACCAGAGCAAGTTCATCTGTAACTGTAAGCCTTGACTAAGAGGAGTTGGCTTTCCCAGCAGGATAAATAGCGAGAGACGTGGCTCTAATTGCACATCAGCAGAGCTGATCCCTCAAGGATATTGGCTGGGGCGAGGGAAAGGAGCAGGGTATTACAGGAGTCAAACTGCATGGAGAGGCACAGTCAGCTGAACCTGCAAGGGTCACCTGGGCAGTGCTGCCAGGCCACTGGAAATCTGGGGGAAATCTGGGGGAAATCCAGGGGAAATGCAAGCCCTCTCCACAGTAAGCAGGGCAGGGAGCACTCCTTTGGTGTTTGCACTTTGCTGGATGTCAGCTGTGTGAGTTTGGSTTCAAGGGGCTGCTCCTTCCTTTGAGAAGGCACATCCCTGGCCATGGGGGAGGGCAGCAAATGTGCCACTGGGATAGAAAACCAGAGACTCCCTCCAGCCCTGCCCTGGGAGCAGCTTTCAAAGCACTTACAATGRGAGGGGTAGATACCACCATCATCATCTGACAGGGGAACTGAGGTGCAGTGGCAAAGGCAGGGAGGATTTGGTGTCTTGAGGCACAGTCCTGGCCCTGCAGTCTGTGCCTGTGCACCCTCCTTGCCGAGACACCACTGAAAACAGAGCCTGTGTGTTCCTGAGCAGGCACAGGAGGGAGAAGGGCAACCATCAGACACACCAGGACAGACAACCCACCCTGGATGTGTTCAACTGCAGTCCCAGAGCAGCCCTGCTTTGTCCAGCACTGTGCTCATCTGGTCAGCTCCAACCAAGAACTGCTGCCCTGAGCCCTGTGGGCTTCACACACGGGGCAAAGGAAAGATTTCTGTGCACAACAGCTCCTGGTTCCATGGAACCACGCCAGAATGTCCCATCTTCAACCTCAGCCTCAGAGTGGGCTCTTCAACTCTCACAAAGCCTCAGAGATGTATTTAAGGGGGGCAGGAGCACATGTAAGGGGAGGCCCTTCATTCCCCAATTCTTCTGGAGACAGCTAAACTGAAGGATGGTTTCAATTTATTTTAAAAAATCCCAAGGCTCTCTTTTCTTCCAGAAGCTCATTCCCAAGAGCCTCATGATGCTGCTGCCATCCTGGCACCTGCCCAGCCCCGAATGGAAAAATAAATCCAATACTTTCTTAGTCACACAAAACTTGCTGAAGCTAATGGCTGTTTGCTGAATAAAGAAGTAGTGAAATGATATAAAAGCTCTGAAATTGAGTCTTTTTTTTTCTGCTGTCTTTTGCCAGCAGCTCCTGTAATACTTTACAGTCAGACAGTGATATGAACGGGGGGGAGTGTGATTTGTCTACTTGCAGGTCAGAGAGCTGGGAGAGAACGGAGCCCTTGAGTCAAGTTGGGCTTTTCCCTTCATTTACCCCATCTGCCTTAATGTGAGAGCACTGATGTGTGGAGACCCAAACCCCCAGGGCACTGGCAGGATTAGCTCATATTTGAGAACTGCTGCACAAAAGCAAAGCATTGTTTATCAATGTAGGCTGTAAAACTTGCTGACACTGTGTACATTCGCAGCCAGTCTAACTATGAAGAGATGAAATTCTGCCTGGTCCTCAAAAACAGAGGTGAAAGTGCAACATCTCAGCACAGAATCCACAATGAAGCTTGTTATTAGTCAGGATTGGCTTGAAGGTGGAGACAGAGAAAGTAATTTTTTAAAACGAAGATTTGTACCTTCCCAAAACTGACTCAATGCCTTTCTTGTGTATTTATCAGCAGCTTGTTGTTTCATTTATAACCTGTGGCTCCTGCAAACCCGGCTTCTCCAAATCACAGTTTTTAATTAGCTGTTTGCTGGGTTTTTTCCCTAATGATGTGCATTGATCAYATTGATTGGGATTTTTTGATTGCACAAAGTAGGAAAAAACAACCCCATTGTTGTCACAAGCAAGCTTGGTCTCATTAGATGTGTGAAATGGTTCTGCTCTAACATGCTGAACAAATTTAGAACTATTCTCAAGCTGCTGGAGAATAAAAAATTCCCCCATCTTAATGTCCCCCTACCGATACTGGGTACCTGATTCATATCCCATCACGGGCCAGGAAGAAAATTAAGCCAGGTGGCGCATCAACCTCACAAACTATAGATCCCAACACTTCTACCTCGTCTCATAACAACAAAAAAACAATGTGAAAGATGAGGAAAATTCTACCTCTGAAAATGTGCCCAGCTGAGGATCAGTGATGGTACACAGGCAGGAAACAAGGAGAGCAGGAGAAGCAGCAGGGTAGGAGTAAAGTCTGCTAACAGAGCTAGTGGGAGTCTGCATAAAGCTGCTGTGATGTACCCTGGGGTCCCTGTGTGTACAGAGGGACCTGGAATTGCCTGGAAGCAGACACAGGCTCACCTCATGGTGTAGAGCAGGGTGCCATTGTCCACCAGGCGCAGCAGCTTGTTGGGGGTCGTCATGTTGTGGGCAACAGACTTCTTGCCGTTGTGGAAGAAGGTGTCAGGGGTCCAGATCTTACTGGCCAGCAGGTTGTTCAGGGGCAGGATCTTCATGGGACCGTCAAACTTGAGCCTTTCATCCCTCCAGGACTGCCGGAAAAAGACGTCRATGGTGTATTCCTTAGGGGAGAGAGGAGAGAAAAATGAGCTGTGCTTGGCTCAGCTCTTCACTGCAAATGAGGGGATTCGAGAAGCGGCGCCCACAGTCATACAGAAAACTGGGTTTTGGCACACCTTGGGTGCAACAAGAAGCAGGGATTAACAGCAGATGGGATTCACCACATTTTGGGTAATGACTTACCTGTGATGCCAAAATTGGCATGYCAGTGTTTCTGAGCACTGCAGAGAAGCTGCAGCACAGCCTACAGTGGCCAGGGCTGGGGTAGCCCTGCTGCACCACCACCTTTATCCGGATGTTTCAGGGCAGGAAGGCCATTATGTGCAGCTACACAGGCATTTTAGAAGGCAAAAATAAAGATCCTGGAGATGGAATCTGGCCAGGATGCTGGTAATTATATCCCTGCTCATAAAAAAAAAAAAAAAAAAAAAAAAAAAAAAAAAAAGAAATAAACTTGCATGACATTGTCTTAATGTTATTTTGTTCCCCAGGCCACCTTTAGAAAATCATGGAATCGAGGACTTCACAGACTTGCATTACAAGATCCTGTGACTTTCTTTTGTCTTTTTTTTTGCCTTATTTCCGTTTTTTTCCCTCTTTTTTTTTTAAATTCTTTTTTTATTTCTTTCTGCTAGTACAGAAACCCATTTCTTAGGCCAAATTCCAGCTGGGGCAGTTAGGAGTCACCTCTTTGAAACCCCTGTGGCCAGGGCCAGCTCCTTGCTCGGTGCACAGAGCCCCAGAAACCACCTGGGCAAGCAGCGAAGCCACCATGGCTCTGTGGCCACCCTGGATTTTGGAAACAAAATCCAACCACCCTGCCCAGTGTCCCCTGTGCCCTGYGCCACCCCTGTCCTCCGAGGGCTCACCTCACCTGAGCTCATGCCTTCAGCCCCTCAGCACCAGCTGCACCCCAGTTAATCCCTTTCACACACTCCTCTTGCTAGTGAAGCCTTTCATTGCATCTCTTTAAGGGAGAAACAGGGTTTTTGGAAAACCTGTCTGTCCCAACTGTCCTTCCTCCCCCTGCTGCTGCAGGCTCGTGGTCTTTATTTATGTGCTCCTGGAGGCCGCAGGACCGACTCAACTCATCATTGTGAGTGATTTCTTTCCTGCAGCACTTCTTAGCAGCGTTTAAAAACTGCTGTGCGTTGCTCTCCTACAGGACAGAGAGATTCCTACAGGTTTTGCAGCAGATGGCAGCTGAATTAAAGCATCTTGGTAAATAAATCCATCCCTGCTCCCCGGCCACAGAGCCACCCCTGCTCAAATAAGTACTTCTGGAGCCCGGATGAGGGAAGGAAAAAAGAAATTCTGCATTCCCATGGGCTCTGCCCTGTAGAAGGTATTTTGCCCCTTCATGGAAGCAATCTTTAATTCGTGGTTTTAAGCTCTGTAAAGGGATAAACCCAAAGAAATGAGCCTGTGTGCAGTCCCAGGAGGTTTGGGAAAAGTCCTTATCAGGAGAAGAGCTCTCTCACTCAGAACTCCCTGTTCCTATTAAAAAAAGTGCCAGACAAAGAACAAAAACATTTTTAACGACTTCCAAAGGCCTCCTTTTCTTCTTTAATGCTTAGGAATCACTCCTGAAGAAAAGGGAAATCATGTTCAGAATCTTCCTCTCTCTTCTGTGCTTCTTTCCATAAAAGCATMGTTCCCAATTCGCCCCTTCCAAGGAGCACACTTAGTTCTGTGTTCTGCTCTTCTCTGCCTACAGAAGTGACTGAAAACATCAAGAGTGACTCTGTCCTCAGAGTCCACCCACGAAACAAAAAAATTTCCTTCAGTTTTAGTTTTCCTTTGTACAACTTCCCTGGGACTGAGGCAAAGYTGCACGAGCTCAGTACCGAAGATTTGGGCGCGTGTCAGGTGCGGTCGGGCTCTGCTTTCTGAACARAAGGGAGATGAGGAGTCCCTCGGAGCCTCTCAGCAAGAAGGTCTCCACATCCTCCTCCTCTCCTCCTCCACGCTTGGTAAGCAGCTGCTGTGCTCCACTCCCCACGGCAGCTCTGCCTCTCCTCTCCTCCATCACCATAATTACAGTTCTGTCTGTGCTGGGATGCGCCCCAGCCGCTCCTGGGGCACGAGCGAGGGCTGTGGGAGGACTGGGAGCACGGCACCAGGCAGATGCCAGCGGGGAAAGAGGGACTCCCCTGCTCCCAGGTGAAAGCAAGCACCAGGGCAGGCTCTCCCCACGCTTCCCCGGGAGATGGGGTTCTTCTCCCTCACGTTTTAGCGGCAGAGCTAAAACGCATTCGCCACGCATTTGTAAAATACACGGAACCGAAGCACGCGGAGGGGAGATAATTTATTATTCTTTAACTGTCTCACTAATTTTAAATTCATTTTGTCAAATCACATTGCAGAGAATACCTTCCTCTTTTCAATAGTTCATATTTTTTCTTCACAGTTCATTATACACACTCCCTTAATCAAATATGCTCCACCTTGGAAGTAATTATCAGATACTCCCCAAGGGCTACGATTGCTGAATATATTATGGGTCTCTGCTGCRGTAGGAGAGCAGGAGAGACAGAAARAGAGAGAAGGAGAACTCAGAGGAGGTTCATAATCTTGATTACACTGACACCAAGTTAACTTCCTACCCTGGAGGGAGTGGTCTTCCCAAAGCAATGTGGGCTTGAGTGATGGAGCAAGGACCTCTCTGGGAAACGCAGAGATCTTATCCACCCCCAACTCCTCTGCTTGCCAGCACAGGATTGGTGTGGGACAGCTGCAGAGATGTTCAGGCCATGCCAGCCTGGGAAATTCACACACAGAATCACAGAATGAACCCGGCTGGARGAGACCTTCAAGATCATCAAGTCCAGCCCATKGCCCAACCCCTCCTCATCACCCARAGCAGGGCACTGAGTGCCACACCCAGTCTGTTTGTRAACATCTCCAGGAGCAGTGATTCCATCAYCTCCCTKG